ACAAGAGCACGGGGAGATGATCTCTAGGCCATTAAGAGTGGCCAGCAAAAAAGTTTTCGTTTATTGGTGGCATGGGCCAGTTTTATAGCTTCATTTGCACACAACAACTGCTGCAGAGGCCGAGGTCAGGTTGGTCAGGTATGTATCTAAGATAGGGGGCAGGTGGGCGAACAGTGGGCGTGGCTTATTAGCAGGGTGCAAGGCGGATCGCTGTTCCTCAAGCGGAACGGTAGCCAAAAGCCTTCAGCGGCTTCTAGGTTATTGAAAGCTTTTAATAAGTTACTTAATTTTAGCGCAATTTCTTTAATCATTCAGAGATATTGTTATTTGTTAGTTCTCAAATTAATACAGAATTAGAATTATAACAATCTCTCCTTTTGTTAAGCGACAATTTTAGAGTTTTCTAGTAGATAAGGCTTTACCCATGTGAGTAATACTTCGAAGAATTCGTGATTTTCGGGCAATCAGTATAAATTATATGAACTGCTTCCGCGAAATCTTTCCCACAATCAGTACTTTGTCTTTGTGTTTTCCTGCCATTAGCTCTCCCAAACGAAATATCACGATCCAAGTGAGCATTACTTTCTGCCTATCCGGTGGGCACTATCATCATTACAGTGCGGCCGATAAGTACGTGGCCCATTGTCATTAGCTGTGGGCACTAATTGCACGTGGAAAACGGCGACCTTAATGCATTCGGTTCCACAATGCAGCTGATAAAAAGAAATGCATTTGCAATGCCCGCATAGGCGGGGGAGAAACAAGAAAAAAAAAAAAAGAATAGCTTAGGAAAGTTGATATCCTCGCATACTTGAAATACAAAATGTACCTTGCTTCAAAAATATTTGACTTTAAATTTTGTATTTAATATATTCAATCGATTTTGAATGTATTATAAAAATCCATGATTTCTTTCCGATTTTTTAAGATTATATGTTTTTATAAATTATTAATTATCAGCCATTATTAAAAATGATTGGCATCAATGAAAGTAAACTAACGCCAATAAAATGTGTATCCTTGGGCTTATAAATTTATTTTAAAAGATACTACAAATAACGTATGATAAGATACAAATTTTTGTAAATACCAAATATGTACTTTTTGCAATTTCAATATACCCAAATATACTTAATAAGTAACGGGTACCAACCAGGAAAACTGCATTTAGCCAGAAAAACGAGAAGGCGAATCTTCAGCGGATTTTATTTACACGAACCGGTTTAATTGGCTCGACCTCCAATCAGAATCAAGTTCACCAACGCACTGGCATTAACAGCTCCAATAAGTAAATGCATGGGGGCAAAAATAGATGAAAAGCTGGATTGAAAATCGCTTACCGAAAGGGAAAATCTCTGGAAGCTGCAGGATGTAGGGATAAAACAGCAACAAAAACGATGCAGGATTAACGCGAGTCTTTTTTTTTGAGAGTGTGTGTATGTGGCGAATTAAAGTGACCAACAAAAACAGACACACACACGGACCGCTCACTAACTAACACACACACTTGCACGCACCGAGAGAAAGAGAGGGATAGAAAGAGCGGAGGGAGATTCGGAAATTGAACACGTTTGCCGCTACTCCGATTTCGATTCCGGCGGAGGGCGTAGTACCGCCCCTAAATTATGGGCGACCCGGTTTATTTACACGTCCGAATTACTTATATATACGTATGTATTATGGACCGCGCCTGCTGCACTTTCTACTACAACTACAACTCTCTGTTGCGTACGCGCGTGTGTGTGTGTGTGTATGTTTGTGTGCGTATCAAGTGCACACGTATGCATCTGCTTGACTGTGTGGGTGAATTTTATTTGTTTGGTGTGATTTTTTTACCCTAAAATTTTAAATCACACTTGCACTGCACAAGCACTGTTAATTTTCTTTTTGATTAATAATTAATTCATGCGCGACGCGACATATCCTCGTAGCAAAAAAAGTGTACGAAGAAGAGCGCCTGTGGGTTGCTTAAATAGATTTTTCAGGTTTCAGAGTGACCAAACGAAAGTCACTAAAAAAAGCCCGTGTCAAAAAGGCCCAGCTGAATAACGTTATCGATACATCGGTATGTTTGATGTTTAAATTTTGTTTATAAAATTTTTTAATATTTTGTTCTTGAAAATACTGCCTTGTATTTCCCGTTACCATTGTAAAGCAATATTAACGACTTATTGCCATAGAATTACTACATTCAGCACCCCAGAATAAAAAAATCTTTAAATGTTTTTGGGACGGTTGACGGAGAATCTGAAGAGTTTTTAATGTGCTTTGCAGTTAAATTGCTTAGATTTTCAAAACCTTTTTGTAATTGATCTTTTTCATAACAATAACTTCTTATTCCACTGTTTTATTAGAAAACAATTTAAACCTGAAAGCGGGAACAGTTATCCATTGAACTTTCGACTACATTTTAAAATTGCGCGCCCACTGTTTATTTAGTTCGATAGTCAGAAATCTTATCGCTTTTACCTCACAAAAATTGAAGGCATCGACATATCGATTGTGGAATAGTTCATATTATAATGCCTCTGGCCACACTGACATGCTACCAACTTTTTAACAAAACTTTGTTAATTACAAAAACGGGGACCAATTCTGCGCTAAAAGTCAATCGCCTCGCGTCATCCCGCGTCGCCATGCACAGCCGGAGTTTGCTGCCGGATCCGGCGGTCTACCAGCCGGATACCCTGGACCTCAACACGGACATAAAGGCGGCGGATTACTGGTTCAACTGCTTCCGGGACATGGTGGCCAAATTCGCCAAAGTGGCGGCCAAGTCACAGGAGGAGGATCACACGGCACCGCAGCGGGCGGATCAGTTCCAGGCGGCCTACCTCCAGCGGTTGGAAGAGCATCAACGCAACGTGCCCCTTAATCGGGGAAAAGTTGTGCTCGGCACCAGTGAGCTCCTGCAACTGAATGAAACAATGCTGCGGCGCTACGGATTCGCTGATCCTTGGCTCAGCCAAAAGAGACTGGAGAATGCCGCTGCAGTGGCGCGGCTTAAGCAGCGTCTCCAGGAACTGGACACCGTGGAGGACGAGGATGCCCGGTGGACGGAACTGGTGCGCGGCGTGCTCGCTGGCAACATGTTCGATTGGGGCGCCCAGGCCATATCCAATATCCTTGAGCAGGACAGCAATTTCGGACTGCATTCGGCCCTCGAACGCATTGAGAAGCGGCCCTGGCTGCTGGACAACCTGGACAACTGGCTGAAGCGGCTCAAGGGAGCGCCACACAAGTGCGCCGTGGTCTTTGTGGACAACAGCGGCGTGGATGTGGTCCTGGGCGTCCTGCCCTTTGTGAGGGAACTCCTGAAACGAGGAACCAAGGTGCTGCTCTGCGCCAACAGTGAACCCGCTCTCAACGATGTGACCAGCGAGGAGCTGAGATCCCTGCTGGACGACTGCGCACGAGAATGCGGAGTACTGGAGAAGGCCTGGTCCCAGGGACAACTGCTGGTCTACGCCAACGGGCAGACAGGTCCCTGCCTGGACATGCGCACCCTGCCGCCGGAGCTGTGCGACGCCATCGCCGCCAATGAGACTGATCTGCTCGTGATCGAGGGCATGGGACGGGCCCTGCACACAAACTTGAATGCCCGTTTCGGGTGCGAAACGCTCAAGCTGGCCGTGATCAAGAACCGGTGGCTGGCCAAGTACCTGGGCGGCGAGGCCATGTTCGCCGTCATCTGCAAGTTTGAACCGGCTGCGCCCAGCTAGTCCAGGAGCCACTGCATCCATTGTTATACCCTGTTGACACAAAAAACCATGCCCCCCAGCCCCAAGATGATGATGATGATGATGATGATGATGATCTGATCACCAGCCAGGGGTCTTTGTTGAGTTCGAAATTATTGTTATGATCCACAAAAAAACCCACAATTCACAATCCAATCCTATCCTATCCTACTCTATACCCTTCGATCTACCGATGAGATTCATATGTGTATAAATATAATCGTAATGCAAGTGCTTTTGTGGTCACCTCACCCATATAAAAAAAAACAGCTACACTTTTAATAATTAAAAACAAGAATATATAATAACAAAGCCTTTTGTTTATCATGGCGCGGCGGTTTATTATCGGTCATGGGTATATGGAATGCAATTTTGATAAGCGGTGGATTACGCGTTGATAAGGTTTGCGGTTTGAAGCTTCCAGCGCTGACATTTCATCAGACCGGAGGGCTCAGACATTTCCCATCATAAATCTTGGATAATGTCTGTTTGCATTTACATATATGGCCTGTGGTGCGTGCCAATTCTTACCTTTTGCCAACTCACTTATCTGTTATATTCGTGTTCGAAATAAAACCAAAAAGAAGGCAGTCACCATAATAACTGGTTGATAAGCAGACAGCTAGATAAGATCAAGCGAAGCCAAGACCAGGAAACTGTTGGCTGGAAAGTCCATGATCTCAAGCTGAATTAAGAATTAATTCCGTTTCACACAACAAAGTGGTAAAAGTCATTAAATTTATTTATAGATTATATGTCTTTAATATCAAAAAATAAGCACTAGGGCATAGTCCACATTTTTTGACTGCAAATAGTCAGTTTTATTTATATGATTTGTAACAATGTAAAGTTTAAATAAATAATCAAAAATGCAGTGATTTTAGAAAAGACAAATTAGTATTAAATTTAATAAGTGGTAGTTTTGTACTTAAGGACAATATCTATAGATTTTTCCCAATAATATATTGGCAGTTAGTTGGCGAAAGATAATAATATTAAGTTCAATTAAAAAAATAAAATTCAGCAATTTAAGAATAAAGTATAAGTACTTCCAGCTCAATAAAGAATTAACCTTAATTATTTCGGTTACATTTGAATCAATAGTATTTTTGTATGGTCAATAAACTTAGGCACAATATCTTAAGATTTTTCTAAATAATATTTTTGAAGTAACTTACTTACTTTGCTGGATAAATCTTTGTGTTGATTAAACAAAATGTTATGGTTTTTATAATCTTTATAAAGGTAAATAAATTGATTTTAGGATTCAGTTTCCTCTGGTTCTGGTCGACTATCAGGAGCAACTGCATCCTCCGCAGTCAAGTCCTCGTAATAAAAACGTCGCCTGAAGGCCATTGCAGCTTGATACCAGTCCAGGAATAAGGGGCGACTATAAAGTTTGATGCCCATTATCAGAACGACGAAGCCTATGATCATGGCCAGATTTACGTAGTCCTTGTTCCAGACAAACATCCAGATAAAGAGTATACGCACGGCATCAACAAGAAGTCGATTGGTGCTGGTAGAGTCCATCGTGATGAACAGACCAATGGAGTTGTAAGGGGCACATGAGATAGTAAAGCCAATCAGAGCCAAAATCAAATACGGATTTCCCTTTAGAGCGCTATAAAGATCACTCCAATCGTCGAAGACACCGCGGGAACTGTCGTTAAACGGACGAATGCTGGGCAGGAAGTGCATACCAATGGCTAGCAGTGAGGTGATGACCAGTCCAAAGATTCCCTGCCATCCAGCAGCCTGCAATGGAGTCACATTGGAGGTCTTGAGCTGCTTTTCCTCGCAAACATACTGCAAACCGTGCAGAATCTCGGCTATGATGATGAGTAGGTCGCAAGTTAGAATGGATTTGTAGTCCTTGCACGGCAACGTATTATTGTCGTCTCTTACGCTCTGAATATCCGCATAGATGATGCCCACAAGGGCAAGCGATATGGTGGAGATGGCCAGCCAGTGGCGACAGATTAGAGGATGGTTCAGGAACATACTACTAAAGATTCCCGTAAATATCGTTGCGGAGCCCCTTATCATTTGAAAGCTGGAGGCGTAGGTCAAATGTAGTCCGGAAAAGAGCAGAATGGAGGCCACTGCATCCAGTAAGGTGGGCAGGATCATGGTCAATGGGCAAAACTCGGCGATGTCGCTGTCCTCTGAGCTGCTATCCAGGTCGGTGATAGTCTGTGAATTGCACAAAAAACCTTAAATTACCTGGGTTTTACATGAGTTTTAAAACTTTTCACTTTTAAAGGGGATTTTAAATTTGTAAAGTTCAAATATACCTATACATGTATGTTGTATTGGTCAGTACTTACATCACGTACCCTGGAGATCATTCGGATCACCTTGATGATCCCGAAACACAGGAACTCGCCCAGGAACATGAGCAGGGTGAAAACCACCGGATGCTGAAATCTGTGATGCTTTCCATCGCTGCCAATAAACTGATGTTCGTTGGCCCATTTTACCACCAGAACATTGAAGGTACCGCTGAGCAAAAATATCACAGACAGAAAATAACGTTGATCCATTCTGCGCAGGAATCATAATCGTTCTGATTGGTGAAGTGCACGCTAGTTCGATCTACAAATATAGACGTTCTTCGCGGAATTGATGATTGTAATTGTGATAAGGGCATAGGTGGAAAAACAGTTCAGTGAGCTAAGTATATAACTGACCTTCCTCAACAGAAAAAAAGTGTGGGGTAATTGCGCCAGTATTATTTAATATAAGTCAACATTGAGCTTTAAAAATCAAAGTACCACTTTGCTTTATATGTAATAAAAAAGAAAAACATAAAAAAACCTGTTACCCAAAATGAATCTTAAAACACAATAACCCTACAGAAATCACTCAAAAGGTTCAATTTAAATTTTCAGTAATAGAACAGGTAAATTTTGTAAACTTTTAACGGCTTTTTTTTTAAATTCTAACAGAACGGCGTGACTTTAACAGAATAGCTATCGATATCGCTGATATTGGACAATCGATAATCAGCTGTTCGGTAGTCGTGTCACGAATTCACCCCTTCGAATTGCCAGTTGTCAGCTGTTAGTCAGTTTTTGACGGTCGTGTGTGAAAATTAATGCAAAAAAATCCCCAATAGATAAACAATAAATCGGTGTGCGGAAAAAGGAAGCCCAGGAACAGTTAAAACTCGCGTCGTTTTGGTTCTTTTAGTTTTCCTTAACTCACTTTGCTTTGCGCTCTGTCAGGCATTTCAGTTTTTGTGGTGGGCGCCCCCGAAAATCAAGTGATTATTAATCGGCAATTTGCTAATCAGGAATATGGATATTCTGAGGAAAATGTTCAAGTCGGAGGCGGAAAAGGAGCCGGAGTGAGTACCAAGATGTGGTGGTGGGGCCAAGGGATATGATATTATGCAAGTGCAGGGAGTGCAATCTATTAATATGGGGGGCCCCCGGAATACGAATACAGCGGCGTTTTTCAGGCAAACGGCAACCGACGGATCGATAACCAGGCACCTGCCATGATAGATACATTTTCACCAGGATACACACACGCACACGGGAAAAGCGACCGCTTTTCTCTCTCCGAGAAAACGGAGGCTGCGCGTATTGCGAAAATCCCGAGGGTTGCAAATGCAAATGGAAATGGAAATCCCTTTCTCATGCCTTCCCTTTTTCCACCCACTCACTCTCTCTCTCTCTCTCTCCCTGTATTTCTCTTAGTTCTTCGACTTCCGCTTCCAATAAGGACGAATTCCGGAAGCCGCAGTGGTTCGAGGAGGCCGAAACCGACGATGAACTCTTCGACGACGATCGCAAGTTCGCCTTCCAGGTCTTCACCAGTCCGCTGGAGATGCAGAAGCACTTCGAGAGCCAGCTGCAGCGACTCCTCGAGTCCCTCAACGATAGTGAAGGTAAGTCCTTTTAAACATTACTATAATTATATCAATCTCTTTGTTTTATAACTATTTAATTTATTGCTTAACGTTTAAACATATTATCCTAAAAATATACCTCCTTGAATATGAACATATTTCAGTTACTCTTGTAAATAAATAAACCTTGAATGTAGTTTAAAATTCATAACTTTATGATTTACATTTAAGTTGATTGCTTTTTCAATTAAGTGTTAAGTGAAAAATAATTATACGCTTGTAGTCTAGAAAACAATTTAATTAAAATGTGCCATCTACTCAACATAATTTATATTTGATATCCCTTTAATTATTTTAAAAGTTATATATTTCTTAAAAAGGTTTTAATTTAAAATGGTTTTTTTTTGTGTTTTAAATGTACTGCTTAAGTATACCTATCTTGTAAATTTAATGATTATATATTTAATATTTTTGTAATTTGTTTTTAAATTGACTTGAACAACAAAAACTTGGTAACAAATGTAATTGGTCGATTTAAAAGTAATTTTCTAAGCGACTCGTAATCCATAAGTAATTGTATTTAAGTAGGCTGGCAGATGGCACTTTAGTATTGGCAAAAGCTTGGCAATAAACAACATCTTCTTTAAATAATTACCAACAATTAAATCCCCAACCTATATTTATTAATACCTTCAATTAAAATTTTGCTTTGTCAGATGGCTTTGAGCGTGACTTGAAGGAAGACTTCTTGAAGCCGGGTTTCGAGAGCAAGATTTTGAAGAGGTTTGAGCAGCAAAAGGACTTATCCCTGGATACTGACCTGGATGGCGAGTAAGTAACCAGAATTTATATCCAAACCAGAGCAGATTTAACAAACTTATTGTTTACAGGATCTATGCCGATCAGTTGCACTCGCTTATTCAGCGTTTGAATCCGGAGGAGAAGGCTGAACCTGGCGACCTGGGAATGGGCCCAATTTTGCCATCGAATAAGCATGGCTATCGCAAGGGTTACGCTCGGGGTGCCAAGCTCACGGATGAGGAGATAATCATGGGTCGCATCCATGGAACCATTTCCGCCGACGGGGAGAGTAAGTCGTGCGCTCGTCCGCCACGTCCGCCGATGAACAACAAGCCGGACATCATGACGCCCATGACTCCAATGTTGCCGCGCAGTGGAATGACTCCTTTCGGCGGGGTATTCGATGGCAACTATCAGGTGAGCAGGATGAGAGGTTTTTCTCACGAATAGATCACTAATTTGATGTTGTTTTCTGCCAGGGTCCCAAGCTATTCAGCCAGAGCGTGATGACAAAGACGGTGCGCAAACCGGATGGCAGCTATGAGACCACCAAGGTGACGCAGGATTCCTCTGGTCACAAGACCACCACCGTGACCCGTATGATAGACGGGCGCAAGGAGACCATTGTCACCCACGATGGCGGAGATGCTGCACCCAAAATAAGGGGACAGCAGCAGCAGCAGCAGCAGCTGGAGAAGAAGGAGGTGGTGGCAATGGCAGCCCAAGGCGAACGCAACATATTCGTGACAAAAGAAGGCTACGCCATGCCACGTAACCTCTGGTGACCAGTGGTGAACAACTATTGCCCCAATCAAGACAAGCGATCTCTGCTGCAGCAAGAAAAGAAAGCGAAACAACAGCAACAGTATGAGGATAAGCTAAAGCGATTCGTTGGCAACATAGTAGTCCCGCATCCACACAACATCCAAATTAGAACCTACTACATTTTAGTTTACATTCTCCTTAGTGTTTGGTGTTTTAGATGAAACGCACTTGAGACAACAGATGACGACGATTATTGACCATGATTTTATTGACCAGCGATCTATATCCAATGATCGATTCGGCCATATATATTATGTGTGAGACAGGCGCCCTTAACCCGGTGGCGCCGCACTTTCTGTTCCCAGATCCAGGGCTCTCCGCAGGCCAAGCTCGAACTCCCCAATCGATTGGAGATATGGAGATAATGGGGTTTGCAGACGGATTATCGGGAGATGGCTCGTGTTGAGCGGTGCGAACGTGTGATTTTCAGTTTTGGCAGCAGCTGCTGCAGCAGCAAAAGCAATAGCAGCAGCAGGCTAGCTGGGTTGGATCCGGATTGAATGCAATCCCCTAAAGCGCTGGCATCCAAAACACAACCAAGCAAACCAAGAAACAATCGCCGAAACGGCGGCAGTTATTGTATTATTGTATTGATTCTTCGTGGTACTATCTGTGTCTCAATGCTGCGATTATTCAGCATCTAAAGTGCCCGTAGTGTTTTAGCAGCGAAAACAAAAATATATATGGAACCACTATACAATACATTACCGCTTACCAGGCAAAAACCAATCAAGTTTATAAACTTATATCTACAATTGCGTTAATTTTGTTAGTTATACTCTACATTTTTATACTTAAAACACACCCGCGTGGTGAATTGATCTACTTTCTGCTTGAGCAGTCCGAGTTCAACTCACAGTATTTTCAATTTTGAATTACAATTCGGTTTTTTTTTGTTTATTAGTTTTACTAATCTGTAATGCTTAAGTTTATTTTTATCCGATCTAACTTTCAAAGAGGACACAATGCATACACGCATTAGTTATCATTCAAGAAACATGCAAATAAATTGTGTTGTGCAATAATGTTTTGATGTGGAATTTTTTGGGAAGGTCTTTGGCTACGGTCCCTAATTATAAGAGGCTAGTTCAAATAGAAACAGAATAGAATATGATCAAGAATATATATAATTTAGAGGAATAGAGGTCTTTTGATTTAATTAATAACATGATAAATAGATTTTTTTGTAACAAAAAGAAGACGTGTACTTCAATCTAGATATATACCTTTAAAAGTAATCTAATTTGAATAGCAACAGACAGATTAACGTGTCTATGAACAAGAATATATACAATTGATTTGATTACATTTTTCCGAAACATTGCCAGTGTATAATAAATAAAGTTATTTATGCTGTTTCCTCATAATAATAAAAAGATGGTTTGTCGTTAAGAGATAAAGAAAGTTAATCAAAAGAAACTTCATAAATTCCTTGACCATCGTGTAAAAAAGGATTTCTCTTCTAGCTGATTACGTTGTCCAAGTGATAGCCTTTTTTCAGTTATTATTTTATTCAGTTTAGTTGGGTTTAAACTAGAGCAACAGGATAAACAAGCTATTAGCTAACAGCCATTGGCTCAATGATGATGGTCATCCTTCTTGACGAAACGCAGGCCGCAGTAGCCGCAGATGTGATTGCCGGGTTTGTCCTGCAGGTAAGACAGCATCCAATTAGTTATATATATAGATAGTTAGCTATAGATCTTACCAGATTGATGTAGACCTTGGGATGACCCAAAGGACCATCGCCGCCGTCGCAGAAGACAACGCGTTCGGTGCATTCCTTGGGCGGCACTTCCTCGATCAGCTTGATGCCCCAGTTTTCGTTGACGTACCGCTTGGCATTCACGAATCGCGCATTGCGGTAGTCATCTTTATCGAACACCTAAAATCCGCAATTATTTACATATTTTAATACATATTCCACACAATGTTTGCGTAATCGCAGGATGGTTGGTTTGCCAATTCCTCGATTTAACTCACCTGGCCGGTGTGGGTGACCTTCTCGACGTCACTGCGGCTGCTGGAATTGCGAACTGTGGCCAACGGTGACATCCAGTTCTGGCGAGAACGGCCCAATTTGGCCAAATTGTTTACCAATTGCTTGCTGGCCATTTTTTTTACCACAAATTTTATCGCACACTGTATTGTGACAGGAACCACCCTGTGCCTGTCAGCTGGCTTAGCAGTCAGTTAACAGCACAGATGTTAGTTAACATTTGGCGTGAGGCGGTCACACTGGCCATTTTAAACTTTATTTAAATTCCCCGCCCTGGTTTAGTTAATTTTAAAAATTTGCTTGAATATTTTAATAACCTATGCAAAGCTTCTTATTTGTATAAATATTCCGCCTTTTATTTATTTTTTATTCCACTAGCATAAACAAAATTTCTTGTTTGTTTATTTCGGAAAATCTGTTACCAGCAATGATCATCCACTACTATTTAATGGATACTTATTTATACTCAATTATTAATATATTTTTTATTAATCCTTTTCATAGTTTTATTTCAATGATGCCAAGTAAATCAAGTATTAATACAACATTAATTTACATTCCTTTTTGAAGTTTTCCAACACTTGAGTTCTTATCTTTTTTTGGCCACACTATTTTGCTTAACGCAGTGACGCCGGTGGCTTTTTAGTCTTTCTTCATTCTAATTTGTAAAATAGGCTTAATTGTAGCATATTTGAGTGCCAGTTGATGTGCATGATTTCGCAGAATGCAAAGTGTTCAACACTTTCCAGAGTAATGTGCTTTAAGGAAATGGTAAGTTTTGCTGATCACAAAGTTTTTCTTCTGTTTAAGTCTTATGGTAAGTCCTTCTTTACTTGAGAAAACAAATAAGCTCTAAATATTTGTACCTACTTAGTTCAGGACATCACAATGGAACCTCTTACATATTCAATTTCCAGATAACTATGATATCAGGATGGATCCCAACTTTTGTGAAGAAAATCCTATTCCTCCGAAATCCCTTCAGCACACTAGTTACAAGATGGTTAAACTTTAACAATGGAATTGATTTTATTGTAAGATAAGAACACCATACATATATGTATTTTCAATTTATTAGTATTGTTATTGTTTACAGGGAGCTCCAGCTTTTTGCATACAGATTAAGAAAGGAATGCGCTCCTTTCAAAAGAAGTTTCATTTCAATCACCCAACTGGTTGACCGAAGATAGAACGCAATGCTATTGCAAAGCCATGGATTTTTTGGTAAGTAAAGTACAACAGAATTAGATTTTTTACATAAGATTGCTATATATGATGTTAGACTTTCATTGAGATTCTTAGCTTTTGGTCATGTGTTTTGTATAGGATGCCAAGTTTTGTGGATTTCCCTCTCATCAAGATGTTGTTTAGAATGAAGGGATGTAAACAAAGAACGCAGAAAGATCACAATTTTCCCTTGGAGCATGCGCCCCAAAAAGAAAAGCCGGCATAAAAAGCCGAGAGCCGAAATCTTCGTGCGCAACTTCCGAACCATCTCTTTCGGAAAATCGAAAATTTTCGAAATTTCCCCCACAAAGATCTCCTGCGTTTGGGAAACGCATTCAGTTAGTGTTTCGTGCTCGTCGAGTGTTGTTCTCGGTTCTTCCTCTACAACATCTAAATAATCTTCATTGAATAGTCTTCTTTCCTGCCATCCATATGCATATATACACGCCGCTATATATACGCATATATAGAAATTGAATTGGAATTGTTCGCGCAAAGAATTCTGGCGTAAAATCAAAGCGAATTTACGGTGTGTAATGTTACAAATTAATTGCCATACCTTGTGTATCCCAAAATCCCATTGAAAAAAAAAGCACAGATAAATGCCCAATTTTCCACGGATTACATAATCGACAGTGCGAGAAGTGCTATTTGGAAAAAAACGTGTTTTTCCACGTTTTCCGGTGTGCGAGAAAAATGAAACGAAACGAAAATTAGAATGTGCTTCAGCGCAATTATGAATCGATAGAATTTGGATATATCAAAGAGGTTCGCCTCATAAAGTGGATGGCAATTAAAAGTGGTCCCAGAATAAAGTGAAGCATGCATCTTGTTGCTCTGCTCTTCTCGGCATGGTTTCCTTTCCTTCGCCTCCGAAAACCGAGCGAACCCAAAGTTTAACGAACTGAGTTCATTTCTATTTTTGAATAATTCGAAAGCAACCGACAACCGCCGCCGCAAAGTGAAAAGTCTGCATGAGTTTTCCCTCGTCGCGGTGCTGCGAGATTCGGGACGTGTGCTTTTTAAGTGGTGCCGATGGTGGACTGATCCACATATAACTACACAAACCACCCAACACAACCCGCCTACACTGTGCAGTTTTTGGTTTTTTGGAAAATCCATAAAGGAATTGAATTATTGAAAGCAGATGACGAACAATTTTTGGCTGCGAAACTGTGCAAAAAATCTGGAAAAATTTTTAGAAGAAATGAAAACAGTGTTGACAGGATATGAGCAATCATATTGCAATATATATTTTTTGTTCTTTCTTCATTACTAGTATTTAAAATAAACTGTATTATTCTTTTTGTAAATGTAATCTTATAAAGTAAGGGTATTATTTTGTAATCTGTATATGATTATTTTACGTTTTCTAAATAGTTCACATTTAAATCAGGATAACTAAAAAAGACAATTTAAATATTTAAATATAAAATTATGTTAAGGGTTTGTTATATGGGTAATGAGTTTTTTTTAAAACAGCATAATTAATTTAAGAAATCCTAATCTTTTAGACTTGAAAACATTTGCTGCAAAAACCTTCTGAAATAAACAGTGTAAAATTGATATTTATTTATTTAAAAGCTCGTAACTTTCTTTATAAAAGAAAACTATTTTTTTTTACCATTTTGATGTCTGTTTATTTTGGCAAGTTCGATCTCTTTAACATCCAAACTGTTTGTTCAACACAATTCACTTGAAAAACAATTATTTCACTTTTGTGCTCTGTACATTATGTATTTGAAATTTAGCTAATTTCACTTTCACGCAGCATCCAATATTAAATCAATGTTTTGAGATGTTTCCAAGGTTTCCGCACACACACACTCTGCCAAGCATATATCTTTTGAGTTTTGAGGCCTTCAAACAATTTTGACAGCAGCTAATCCCCGAGTGCTCACTTTTCTCCTTGCTGCCGCTTCCAATTTGTAGCATAATGTTAATTTCCATACATTGTAAATTATCTGCCAGAAGCACATATTTTTAAAAATATTACTATATATTTTATATATGTGACAACTTAGTGAAATAAATGTTTTGTGCGAGCCAAACACTTTTTGGAGACTTAAAAGCCGCACAATCACGTCAGACCCATTTTTAAAGATTGTATAAATGTTTATAGCACTTCCGTTAGAATCTATATCTTTAATATATGCGGATATGTGCGTAGTCTGGTGAAATTAGTTGGCTACCTATTTTCTAGAATAGGTCATGATTTATTTATGTTTCTTTAGCTTATTTTAATGATATTCTCAGGGGCCACTTGACGTAATTGGGTTGGATGTTCAGGTGATTGTTTTGGCAAATGAACAAATGATGATTTATGATTTTGCACAGTTTTTATGGATGAGAAAAAATATGCCAAAAATTCTTCGGTGGATTGACATGTATAATTGGAATTTGTAAACCAGATTATAATAAATTTTTAAAGCCAAGAATAAGACTATTTTTAAAACCTATAATGTAAAGAAATGATTTTCCAATTATAAATCCTTTTAAATATCCTTAAAACCAAAAAATGCATTTTAACAAGACAATCTAAAATACCACAAATTAAAATCAAAATTGGACACATTTAAATTCAAAAGATTTATTAAAAAGATAAAGTGTTAATATGTTTTTAATTATTCTCTCGGCAGTGTAATATGTTAAATTAAACCCCATAACCCCTGCCCAAAAGTCTTTGTGAAACAATAGCCAATCCGCTCGTTAAATCGAAATAAAACCAAACCCGACGATCTCGATCGAAGTCTGAACCGCTTGCTGTGAAGATGTCCGGGCAGCAACCGCCGCCGTACGGGAATGGTCCGCGTGGCTGGAATCCACGTGCCCACAATCCCGCCTCTCCGTCGCCGTCCTCCTTCCTGTACCGTCCGCCCTCGCCATGGACGACTGCGCCCAGTCCGCCGCCGATAATCTCGGGACCGCGTCCCTTTGGACACGCCATGTCGCCGGCACCACTCAACCAGGTGAGGGGTCAACGCGGTAGCACCAATATACCCCATCCTCGACCCCAGTGGCCAGGTGGCAACCAGTCACCGGCGCCGTACCAACCGGCAGCAGCAGCACCGCCACAACCACCACCGAGTGGCTACTATGGAGGAGGAGCATCGCCGGCACCACGTCCCTATCGACCGGCTCCACTGCAGCACCAGAACTCGTATGGCGCCCAGCCGACCAGCTCGTTCCAGCTGTCGCCCACACCATCGCCCATCGTCTGCCAGACCCCCAGTTCGGATTTCAGCTACAGCAATCGGCAGACGCCATTGTCGCACCATCAGCACCATCAGTACCATCCACTGGGAGCAGCTCCTCCGCAATTCTTCCATCAGCAGCAGGGAGCCCCGGTGATTCCGCCACAACCGAGACAACACGGAGGACAGGGAGCATACGGACTGGCCCAGGATCAGATCGATTTCGTGGGCGTACCACTGGAGCCTCCGCAACCTAAATCCTATGTGATTTACGATGACGAAGAGGAGTTCGGTCCGTCGACAGCCGAAATTATTGCGAACCAATCGCAGGACTACATCGACGAGAAGCTTGCCGAATATCAGATGACGATATTGCAGTTGCAAGGTGAGTTTGGAATCACTAGTTTAATACATACAGAACATATTTATTCCAATAATGAAATACCATTAAAAATCAAAACGATTAGATTCTTAGATTGCCAAAATATTACAATATTGAAATGTATTTATCTTTTTGGCTTTTTAAGATTTTCTTTGATTACATCGTTCGTTATAGATTCAGTTTAATATATGGATTGTAAAATAGTACAAATGATGGGAACAAATTATAAAGACTTTAAATAATTAAAAGATAAATATGTTTGGGTGTATATAAAAGCTTAGGCATATAAAAAATGTGATAGAATCTTAATCGGGAGGTATATTATAGTTTATGTTAAGACAAGTCTGCTAAAGATCAAC